TCTGATTTTCGCTATTGCATAAATAGCACTGTCTACTGTGAGGATCGTGCATCATACGTATCTAATACCGCAGTTCAAAATATATGAACTTCATATATTCATTGTATCTGATTTATCATCACGGGCTTATTACAAATCAACTTACCGGCCTGCTCCCAGTTGGCTTGTTAGCTCAATTGGTGGAGCGTTGCACTAGTATCGCAGAGGTCAGTGGTTTGAATCCCGTACAGGCCTGATTTTTTTTCAGGTCTGATTTTTGCTATTGCATAAATAGCGCTGTCTACTGCGAGGATCGTGCATCATACGTATCTAATACTGCAGTTCAAAATATATGAACTTTATATATTCATTGTATCTGATTATTAACACTATGGAATATAACTTAAGAAGCATTTCACAATTTTGGAACTAGAATAAGTTTCTCAATTTTTATTTATTACTTTAACAGTAACACTCAAAAGTAAATGACAGTCCCTCAAAAACTCAATTCTCAATCTTCAATTCTATATCATTCATTCTCCAAAACTTTGAAATTCGAGAACGTCAACTTACTTTTGAGTGGTACTCTATGAGTTTCTTCTGTATTTGAAGACTACCTCACCATCAGATCAATTTTCATGAGAAAGCTCTGGTGATGAAAGCAAGGTCTTCAAAGGCAAATAATTTTTCTTCCCATTGTCACAAAATCCTGAAAAGTATCTCAATGGTTAAAAAAAGAAACTTTTACAGTAATGTACTAATTGTGAAGAGCTTGATTAGATATCAAATCTTCCCTAATAAATGGGTTAACGCAAGACACAGAAATTCTACTGAACTCAGTAAGCATATCTGGTGTCTTAAAGACAATAGCATTGACCACTGCATTTCATTGCCTATCCTTTCATCAAGCTTACCCTACAACAGCTCAAGTAAACGATGCAACCTGTGCCTTAAGAAAAATTTCTAATCATCTGCCGACCTAATTTGTCATCACCAAACAAACATAATGAACTTGTATTCTCATGCCATCACAGAAACAAAGTGTTGCTGAGTAACAGCTGAACAAAACATTTAATTTATTATGTAAATTTTATGGTATACTATTAATGAAGAGTATTCTTGCCATCAAAATCCCCTGAAGAGCAAGTTAATATGTATGTATGTATGTATGTATATATGTGTGCATGTGTGTGTGTGTGTGTATGTATGTATGTGTAGACTTGAATATTCAAATAATCCTTTATTTTACAAAGATCTGGTTTAACCGTACAAGAAAGGAAACAAATGTAAAAAAAAAAAAAAAACGAAGCGAAACAAAAAAACTACAGTGAAAACATACTTACAAGATTTGTGGACTCAAGGAATAAGTGAATAAACTGGCGAGAAAACAATCGAACATCCAAAACGAATTTTTGACCTCTGCAAGTACAAGCACATGGTTTATCCCATAATATTTAACAATTTAAATGACGCAATTGTACCAGTCCCACGCAGACTGAACACGAGAAACAAAGTAAACAGTTGTAGAACGTTTTGTAACTTACAGTATGTACCGGGTATGTATGTTTATATAATATTGCTTTTATGTCCAAATCGAGCTCTCTGTTAGAATGAGTCATGTTGTGCAATTGTGCAAAGCTCACTAGTTACTAGTTTGAGCACTCTGGCATGCCTTAGATGATACCACAAAATAATGTGGAATCATTTGGGGATGGCTTTACTGCTTCACCTCCATCCTAGAATCAGCATTGCACTGAGCACTGATGAGGCCCAGAAGGCCGAAACAGTACTGTCTGCAGTTATGTGTATGTGTGTGTGTGTCTATATATTTAAATAAAGTGTAAAATTTTGACTTTCGTAAAACAGTGCTCAATACATAGGAGTAGAGCGATGTATATATTGTGGGAGGAAAAAGACAAATACACTACAAGTTCATCCCCACAAGCCTGTTTTGTGGTTGCCCACTTATCAGGGAAATCCCCTTATGAGTGGGCAACCATGAAACAGGCTTTTAGGGATGACTTGTAGTTTATTTGTCTTTTTTTTCCCATTGGAATTGTAACAAATGTTTAACAAAAGATGTGGAGAATTAACATTCAGTGTCTCTCTTTTGCTGGTTAGTCCACTTACAATGCTGGCCAGTGGGAGGCACGTCTTTGGCCATGGGCTCAACCTGATCTTAATTACGCTGCACCAGAGTACATCTTGTCCAGATCGTGTGACCTGTCAAGTGACATGTTCTCACTGGGAGTTCTTATCTACTCTATATACAACAAAGGGAAGCCTCCCTTTGACTGTGATAACAACATGGCAGCTTTCAAAAGAAATGTGGAGCAGGTAGGTTAAAATGGCCTGAAAAAGTTCCTGTTCAGTTGTTAAAGTATTTACAGAAGTGTCACTATTTACAGTTAAGACAAATTCTGTATTAAATCAATCAATTATAACCTTCTTGCTCCCAGGAGTGACCAACAAGCTATTTCTCTTCACAATATACATACATCTTCAAGGTGAAAGGCAGCAAGAAGAATGAAAAATATCAGCAAGGGAATATTGCACGATTAATATCAAATTCTCAAAACCGGAGTCAGAAACAGTATGTGAGGGACAGTACAGAGAATTAATACATAGATCTTGGGAGTGGAAAGGTTATTTCATCAATCCAGATTTGAATGAGTTTTTTTTTTTCTTTAGGAAATCAGGGTTTTCATTTAAAAAAAAAAAAAAAAAAAGATGTATTAATATTTCAACATGTTGTCAAGCTAGTCCTTTTTACTGAACATGTATTTTAGTAAAAGGTTGCTATTCTCTAGGTTACAGTTTCTTTGATTACCTTTCAACATAGTTAAAACATAGGTAAAGGAACTTTGTGGCTTCTTGTTCACAGTTTCTATTGTTTTTCTGTCACTAGAGACTTCTTTTGAAGCCAATAGTAATGAAATGTGAAATGGTTAGCTCACTCGATTAGTTGTACATGTTCTGAGAGCTTCTAGTTCACAGTTACAGATGTCTTTGTTGCTCAATGTATAAAATTGTACAACTTATTGTGAGTCCAATTTCAGATATTCCAACTTTCTGTTATGCATTTAAAACCCATGCTCTCGAAGCTTCAGACCTCGAGACTTCAGACCCCTTGAAAAGTGATTGAGATTTATGTTTCAACGCAGTTAAAAAAAGAAAAGTGATTGAGATTTATGTTT